CGACATTTCTATATATAGAAATCCTATAAAACACATGTAGTAAATCTTTTTTAGCATTAAAATAAATTATTGTGAATTATGTTAGGAAGTATAATTATAAAATTTATTTTCTCTTACTGAATAACGTACTCATAAAATTCCTGAATCCTGTTTTGCTATCTTTACTGTATATGTATAAGAAAACACGAAGCTGGATGGAGACCTTTCTTTGTTACTTGAGACGATCCCGTAAAATAAAATATCGCGTTCAAAAAAATTAACATGAAATAAACACTTTCATGTTATGAAAAAATTAATAATGTGTACTAAAAAGAAGTACTATTTAAGAATGAAAAATTATATTTTAATTCAGTTGGAAGATATGCTGCGTAAAATATAAATCTGTTAAACTTCATTATTTATATACAGGGTGTCCCGTAACTGATGATACAACTGGAAAGGTGATTCTACATAAAAAAATAAACCGAAAATATAAAATAAAATTTGTGCATGAAACACTTAGTTTTCGAGAAAATTCAATTTAAATATTGTTAACAAACTAATGCTTCCGCGCGAACTTTTATGTTGATAAATGAAGATAATCTAACATTTCATAAAGAAATAGTCTACGCAGAAAATGGTTTCAATTTTCTGCAGTTAAACGACAGAATCGTACAAGCTTTTGATTAAAATATGAAAATACCGTACTATCAGTCCACGATGTATTGTATACGTTAACAAGGCTGTCTCTTTCAATAATTCGTTCAATAAAGCAAATTTCAATAGAGAAAATTGTTAATAACTGTATTTTTAGTACTGATCATGACATCGGCATCGTTTATTGGTACTAACATAGGTCGAGGCGTAGTTAAGTGTACATGTCCAGGCAAATATTTAAAGTCGATTTTCTCGAAAACAAAGCCTCACATGAAAAAATTTATTCTATATTTTCAACTTATTTTTTCACGTAAAATCACTCTCTTTCTAGTTGTACTATTAGTTGCTGGACACCCTATATATCAACGTTACAAAAATTTTAGTACCAATGAATGTTATAATCATTATAAAATTTTGAAGGAATCAATAATTTATTTGCGTGAAAATGACAACGATATACGGTTTTGAAGCATTTTTAATTCACACACTAAACTTGCTTGCTTATTGTAACATCGTCAATGTTCTTTGATGTAAGCATATAAAAATTATACAACTTCAACACATAATCAATTATTACAAAAAGCGCATTTTAAAAAATAGATCGATTTACAGAAATTAAAATTATCAGAGAAAAATTGTATACACTTTGTTTTATATGATGTGGGATCTAGGGTTTCTACATTGTGCCGTGTATACGCACGCAAATTTACTCACACACACGCATGCTGCTACGTCCCGTACCACCAGTTTATCCTCTTTGAAAGTTAAACGTAGACTGCAAGAAGAAGCGACCGAACGAATATAAAACCACGATACAGAGCTTCAGAGAAGTCCTTAGCAGCAGAAAGAAGGAGCATACCAAGGATTGGTAATGAGTGCACAACCAATCACGAAACGCGTATTTGATTGTCAAAAAGACCGCACAAATCAAACAATGTGAATTTGAAATCTGATTGGTTCTTGCGGAATGGAAATTGCAAACATGAACAGTAGGATAATACCATCTCCAGTATTATTCGTAAGAATTTTACTTTTCTCTTTTCCTTGAAGAGAGGTTTTCCCCAAACCGTTAAGAATGTGAATTTTAATTACGCAAAAATATAGATAAGCCGTTTACCGGCTCACGCCAATACATTTGAAATATAACTACTGATTAATTATTTGTATTGTGTATTATAATTAATTAATAAATTTACATGTTATAA